GGTACAAACTAGCTGAAAAAATTCAACTAATTGCCCCTGTGCTATTCAAAGTCCTTCAGCATGTTGTCAGTTGTAGCCAAAATGAAACAAATGAGAAAATCGTATATTTGTGTACTGGACTTGCTGTTCTCTTAAATGGTCGCAATAGCCATTTATCAATGCTCCAGCATGTCATTGGCTTTATTCTGGACCAAGGAGGTGCAACAAAAGAGGTTTGTGCATTTAATTTGTTTTTAGAACCTCTATAACATGGTCTTCACATGGACAATCATTGTATAGAGAACATTACATACTAGAATCCATATCATATGTCATACCAGCCCGTATGGCTCCATATCAGCCCAAGGGCTGATACGGGGCCTGAGGGCTGATGTGACATATGATATAATATGGATTTTAGTATGTAATATTCTATTTATCATATATATTTAAAAACTTAATATGCGAGTTCACATATGGTCATTGAAGATTGTTTTGAGCTTATTTATGACATTTTTCTTTGAAATTTATTGGAGCCAATTTTAGGTTTTTGGGAAAAAATTAAGAACGCAAATGTCATTAAAGAATTTTTTTATATGAATATATAAATAAAATCAATTAAATTATCAATAAAACTGTATAACAAATGTTACTTCCGGTTTTATATGGATTTTCGGACCGATCCGTGATATGGGGTATTGTGACGTCACCTGTATCACACCATGCAGAATTGGTTTATTTACTACTAAGTATATGATAAAAATATATATAATATGGAAATGGCTCCTCTCTGTTGAATTTGACAGTTGCTGTGAAATGATATGAAATCCCTAATTATCTTTCAAGTTTAATTTTCCACTGAAAATAAAATTCTGACCTGTACAAATGTATAGTCTCTTCTCCAATGTACTGTAAAGCACTTTTTATTCGTGACAACTTTATTTTCGCGTAATTACGCGAGTCAGTATGCTCGCGAAAATTCAATTCTCGCCTTTAATAGTATTTCTTAAGATTATACAGAGCAATTACCACAATTTATGAAAATTTTGTCTCGCTGATCAAGAGTCAATGATTGTCTCGCAAAAATAAGGTGTCGCGAAAAAAATTAGTGATCTACAGTACTGTAATAAAATTCCCTTGAACTAATAGTTTTCTTGAAAGCACAGAAAATTGACTCCACAAAAAAATGAATTTTTAATAAAATGATAGGGTTTTTTACTTTTTAAACTCACCTTTAAGCTGAAAGCTCCTTTTAGCATTTCTGATCACCTGTTGTTCATCATCTGTTCGTCCGTCAGTCTGTAAATTTTTACACTTTTTTTAGGTCATTTCCATTTTACACAGTATGGGTCTAAGTGTTTCCCCAAGTACTATTCACAGAAAGAAGAAAAAGCTTATGGCCCAACAAGAGAAGAAAGTTCAAGAAGTGGTAGGCAGGTATGTTGATCAAAGAAAAGAAGTTTTAAGTGCTAAGCATCTACTGAATGATTATTCTTCTTCTCTGAAAAGCCCGCCATATGAGTATAAACAGTCTGTAGAGGAGAATAATGAAATATCATTAAAAGCAACTACTCTTTCCAATGGATGTGGTGCAGTACTAAATAAATTTCCCTCCACATCTTGCTGGGATTCTTGCATATCTGCTACCAAATGTACAGATTCTAAACCTGATGTGACAGTTTCTACTGATTACCTTGAAATGACACATGAGAGTCAGTCTTTGACTGATAACATGGATAACCTTGAATACCAGACAAAACCAAAGAATGAGTGTCCAACACTGCTTAACAGTGTTGCCAGTCAAGATGTCACAATGAAGTTGCTGAAGAAAACAGTAGAAAATGCAGAATTATGCCCTGTACCCCCCATAGAAGTTCTTGGAGACAATGTTGATGTCATGGTGAGTCCAGCGAGCATGACAATGGAAAGACAGAGGAGATCTTGGCATTGGTTCCTTATTCTTGCAACACAGAAGCGAGTAATTGATCCAACTTTACCATCTTATAGGAATCCAAATGATATATTAAAGCTTAATCCATCAGAGTGGCTCCCAAACAGCAACGAAATGCAAGAGTACTTGCAAAATATTGAATTCCATGTGTCTAAAATCTTAGTAAAATACTTACCCTCTCTTCATAGTATTGATAAACTGTTACCTAAATGTATCGCGCATGAATATATGAACCAGACTTCAAAGAAGTCTGTATTTCTGAATTCTGCCCTCATTGACGAGAGTGAAAACACTTCAGAAGGCATGATTAAAATCATGCAACATGTTCATAAGCTTGCTGTGCCTTACATTAATGGAAAAATGGACAAAGTTGTTTTGGGTGGCGATGTACTAACAAATGAAAGGGCATTGAGTGCACAGCAAGCCATGTTTAATAGTGATGTAGATTTTGAAAAGCTTTTAGGTGTCATTCATAGACCAGAGGGTCTTCATCGGCAAATGAATTTCCTTTTGGTGAGATTCAAGGAATTCAGAAATTTTTACTCTTGATTATTTCAACATTGATTTGAGTTACATTTAAATTATCTACTTACACCATTAGACTTGCTAATGTATGTATGTTTTATTTTCAGTCGATCAGTCTCATAATATCTATTAAAGGTATTTCCACCCTCACAAAGGATGGAAATGCTGTAATGCTCTTTCAGATAATGGTAATCACATTTTTTGACAATAACGTAGTTCCATAAGCTATTTTAAGCTTTTAATACAAGTAAGAATATTTGAAGAATTAAATTTGAAAATAAATGACAAAATAAGAAAAGATATTTTGGCAAGTCTAAATCAAAAGTTCAAGTTCTACTTTTATGTTTACATTTATATGTAAGTTAGATTGGGAGGGTATTTAATTAAAACTCATAACATTTACAAACTACAAATTCCCAGTTTTCTATTGATAAATATATATCTTTCTAATTAAAAAACAAGTGTGAATTTTATGATCAGGGTATAAAAAAATATAATGCTGTGCATTTTTCAGGTCTGATCTTGTTTTTCTTAATTAAATTTGACCTTAAATGAAGAAAGCAGGCAAGTTCAAGCATTTTGATGCAGTGCACTTATCTTTATTGTTTTCTGTACTTGTTAAAAGTTTAATTCTTATGTCTCATGCTATGACTTGGACTATATTTTCATGTAAAAGGATGACCTAGATTTTATTTAATTTATAGATCAAGGTGAAAAAATTGTAGGCATTCACCCTTCATATATATATACTACCTTTCGAAGTTCTAAGTTTAAAGTATAAATGTCAAAAGATTCTCAAGATGTGATCAAACCATGTTTTTTCTTTATATTTGACCTCTAATGAAGAAAGGGGTCAAAGTTCTAGTGCAGTACATGGGGTATTAATGTCTTCCTATGTTACCCGTTTAAAGTTCTATCATCAAAGGGTATTCAAGTTATAGAATGGACTCTATTTTGATGAAACTTACAAATAGATCAAGGTCAAAAACTTTGGTGGTGTTCACTTCGTCTCAAGGTCATCTATCTATATTCAAGTTTAAAGTCTTCATGGGTATAAATGTGCTGGAAAAATTTGATTGAAGTTGACAAGAACCAATAAAAGATGTCCTCAAATTTCAAGCTTCTCCAATGATAAGTTGCTAAGAAAACTGAAAAATTTAATTTAATATGGACAGAAAAACATGCACACACAGACAGACAGGGGTAAAACAGTATACCCATTCTTCTTTTTATTAGGGAGGTATACTGATACATGTAGAAATGAAGTTGATTAGCATAACACATGGGGTGTTTAAAAAAATCAATAATAGAAAATTCTACTTATTCTATCAACAACAATATTAATGCATTAAAGGCTATTGATAAAACCAAGTGTTGGTGTTGCATTATTTTTGTATCAGATGTTAAGGCAACAGAGTCTAAAGCTGGACAGTAAATAAACAAAAAATCAATTATTTTTTCAAAGTTCTCTGTTACTTATTTAAATAAACCAGAAACTTGCTTTAAATAAATCAACTTACATGTAAATATTAATTTAAAATAATTAAATTAGGCCATCTTTTAAAAGGTGTTTTGGTCCTATCTTGACTAAAAAGTAGGTGGAAAATTTGATTTATTAAAAACAGCAAATAGAAAGTTAAAATAGTTATTAATGACCAGTATGAGAAAATTTTAGAACATGTATATATACCCAATATATATATATATATATATATATATATATATATATATATATATATAAAGCACTAAAATGACCAACGATATATATATATATATATATACTTTTTTATTTTTTCTTTGTCCTGATAAAATTTGACAATTTTTATTGTTCGTGTCGTTGGTCATTTTAGTGCTTTATATAAATTTCCATCCGTGACCTTGTATATATTATATATATATTTAGGATATACAGTGTTGTTGGTTTTTTAGTGCTTTTTATATATATATATATATATATATATATATATATATATATATATATATATATATTTATATTTTTTGTGTACTGAAGAATCAAGCCCTTTTTAGTGAATTTTTCAGAAGATGAAAAATAAACAGTCTTTAAAAGATGGCCTTATTAATATGGCATTACCAAGTTTTTTTAATTTTATGTTTTACTAAGAATTTTTTTTCTTATTTTAACATGTTTAATGTTTCACATGATTTTATAGATAACAATGCAATTTTCAACATAAATCATTATCAAACTTTTAAGATACCATTGTAAAATCAAGGTAATACTAGTTAAATAATTAGGATCTTGACTTCTTTCAGAACCCAAAATTAACTGATTAAACAGTAGGAAATATTTCTATTTTCAAATTATATGGTAATTGTATTATACAAGTATCCTGTCTTCCAATAAAGAGTTCTCTATGAATACAAGTTACTACATTAATGACAGACATGGATCATGTAATATTTTTAAATTTTATTTTTAATGCTACTGTAAAAACATTATTTATCATTTGTTATCTTTTCAACAGGCCATATACCAAAAGTTTTACAGTGAGAAGACAAGCAATGAGAGAGGAACTTTATATCAGCTGAGAAATTTAATCAACAGACGTGATGTCACAGGAGCTGATGATATCACAGTTAACTTCAGGTGAAAGGCTTTTAATTTTTCATTTCATTTACACTGTACAGTTAATACATTAAATTGACTACAGATTTTTCCATTATTTCATGATAAGGAGCACAAGGCCAGTGTGACTGCTTGGCTGAAGATGCTCACTCCTCAATGACACCTTGTTTTAGAGGTCCATGTTTGCTCTGCTCCTATTCATATTGTTTTATGTACTTTTTAGCTTTAATACTGTTCGTTATCTTCATATATTTTAGTAATTAAGAAAAAACAGAGGGTTAGATCAAGTCATGTTCAAATATTAAAATTTCTGTACAGTATGTATTTGTTCCTTCACAGATCACACACTAAATTTCTGGAAGATGTGATTGCCAGTTACTGTATCACTGTGTTTATGAAGATCCATGGAATGCATTCTATTGATGATCATCCATCAAACCTTCCAGTGTTTTCATTAATGCAAGACAATGATATCAAAGACTGGATTTCCAAGGAATCTAGAGAAATTATGAATGTTCTTGGAATTTCAGAGACTCGATCAATCAAATCTCTTGCAGAGTATTTGAATAACTTTGATGTGGATAATGAAAATATTCTGAAAATGTCTACTGGAAATGGGTACTCGTGTGCAATGTGTGACAAACATTACAAGAAAAAGGGACACTTCAAAAACCATCTGAAAAATAAACATGAGTGGCATTTCTTCTCAGTTCAATTCATTGAAGGAGACAATAATGCAATGAAAAGCTTCATGAGAATGGCCATGCTTCAGTATGACACTAAAGATGCATTCAGGTACATTTAGCAAAAACCAACAAAGTTTAAAACTTATAATACCCCCGCAAACTAAGTTTGGGGGGTATATAGGAATCACCTTGTCCGTCTGTCTGTGCAATCTTGTCCGGTCCATATCTTTCTTACATAGGGATATTTGAATCTACTACTCCAGACTAAGATTGCCAAGGTCACTGGAAGAAAAATTTCATAATTCGTGTCTGGTCCATATCTTTCTTATGGATAAACTTGGTAGGGTCTCATTTCAAACAAAGATTGCCCATGACCCAAGGGTGTGTCATGACCTTGACCTAAGGTCATTTAGGGAAGTTTGAGGTCACTGGAAGAAAAATTTCATAATTCGTGTTTGATACATATCTAGCTTTATTATGGAAAAACTTACTTCTGAAAAACCCAGAAAGGGTATTTTGTCCCGTTTGGACAGTTCTAGTTTAATCCTTAGGCCACCTTTTTAAAATGTATATTTGACCTCTCAACCAGGGTTGAAATATAAGAAGTGGGGGAAAAAAAATTCCAGAAAATTTTAACATAATTGTTGATGGGATTAAAGGAATAAAAAAGAAGAAAAAAACATGTGTCCTAGTTTTGAGTTGAATTAATTTTATCCAGTTGGTTGGGAGCTTAGGCAAACAGAATTTTTTTTAAAGATGAGCCATAGTCAATTGCTTTAAATTTTGATTTTTCTACTTAAATGGACTTAAACATATTACATTGCTTAAAGCAAATTTTAATTTGTAATCAAGAAAAAAAACCAAAAAATAAAATGTTAACCTCTCTAATACATTCTACTAAACATTGCTCAAAAAATATGTCCCTTTAGTTTTTTTTTAAAACAGTCATAAAGAAGACTTTTAAATATGTAAAATGAAACTAAGTATAATCCTTGCATTTTTCAGAATGGCTGACGGTGAAAGATGTTTCCGTAACGCAAAGTTCGAGTGGCTGTATGCCGGAGCTGTTGGACACACAAAATACAAAATCTGGCTGTGGAGATACGTTGCCTACATTACATCAATCCTAAGTCCGAGGGAAAGTTTCGAGTATAAATGGAACATTTGCCAAAACTTAATGGGAGGGTTCGATCAGAACATTCCCAATGATAACTGTGTTGAATTACAGGTTGGAAAAATCAAGAAACAACTTAATACTCAAGGTGCAAACAAATCGTTTAATTCTGCTAAAGTAGTTGCACTCACAACTCAAGTTGTTGATGGTATCAAATCCAACTTGATGGAAGCCAACAAAATAGCAAAGCCATCAAGGAAAAGGCCAGCTGTTGACAAAACAGAGGATATCAAAATAATGGTGAAGTGCCTGTTAGATAACTGCAACATAAATGATATGAATTGGGAAAGTCTGCATAAATTTAAAGACCCCCTTTGTTCAATAGACCCATTTGCATTGTATGAATGGATTGACTTGCAAAAGAAAATTGCGTTCAATACACTGTTGTAAATAAATACACTTGATGAAAGTTTATGTGTACAATATTGACTTTGGCAAAGGATCCTAGTACTTTATTGAAGTAATAAACACATAAGAAAATGATATTTAGAATTTGACTTTAGACAAAGACTTTGAAAAAATTATTTCTCATAAATATAAATATATTGACTTTACCATGTTTACCGAGTGCCTAAATTAAAAGAAATGATTTGTTTGATGTACTCCGACTAACCCGTCAAGATTTCCCCTACCTAATCAAATTTTTCAGCTTCTCTTCAGCCTGTGATTTATACGACAGTTATCGTTTTGCCCAATTAAGTAAAGCAAAGTATTAAAAAAAACACCTACCCACCTTGAAAAATGTGGGACAGAGTATATCAAACAGAAATATTTTTAATGATGGCCGTTCACATTTCAAAATTGAGTACCAGCTGTCATTTTTTTTTCCCGAAGAAAATTTTCAAAGACATTGAAGTATTAAGGCACAGAGATTACTATAGTTAGAAATTCAATATTTTTATGCCTACTGTACTACTAAGAGAATTAGGTACAATTCTCAGTTAACCCTGGACTTCCTGTAAGGCATTGCATTCTTGACGTTACCTGATTAGCTTTCGAATTTACATAGCTTTCCTTTACTGTATATATGGGAAAGAATTTCGGCTGAATGTGAACAAGTATAGCAAATAGCCAATAATAAGGTCTCGTACAGCAAGAGGTAAGGCTATAGTCATCTCATTGATGTCAACAACAATATACAGTTCCTGATGTTAATTTTTTTACCAATGAGAATATTTTCACTATTTGACAGACGCTAATTATGTAGCATCGAGAATACCACACCTTACCGAAAGTTCGAAGTTAACTGAGAATTGTACTATTCTTTTACAATTGTCTACTTTTGTTCTCTTTTACAACTAAGGATAGATCACTAAAACAGCATTAAAGTTTTCTACAACTAGGAACATCTAGTGTCTAATGTTTACAGCATTTTAAAGATTAAACTTGCCAAAATTTTATTATCTTGACTATTTGTGAATCTTTATATTAGATGCATTTGAATGTTTTAATTTTCAGTTTAGTTTCCAATAGAGTGACAAGTTGAAATTGCATTTAAAACATTATGTGAAATTGTATTTGTACTATTGAAACTTTACAAGAAATGTGTGGTTATACTGAAAATTGAAATATCAATTTAAAATGCATCTTTATGCTTTAACCTGTCAATGTGCATGATTGATCCAATTAAAACACATGTTTTTGACAAAAGACATTTATTTCTTTCAATTGAATATTCTAATCATCAAACATACGGTATAAAAGCAAAGCAATATTAAAATAATTAGATTAGATCTGATGAAAAAATGTGAAATGCAATGTACTGTAGGCAATTATTACCTTGTAATACAATAAAATGCAATGGAAAGCAGATACACTTTATGGTTAATAGATGAAATTATCTGTACAAATATAAATACAATAAAGCAGAGTCAATATTAAATTAATATTACATGAGGT